GTTGATATTTGGTTTCCAAATTTTGTTGTACCTTCAGTAAAACCAATTGGTAATCATGATGCAACTCTTGCTTTTCAACTATCAAACCAACTATAGTTGATTTGCTTCTAGATTAGCATCTCAACAAATTTATTTGTAATCATTCACTTGTCAAATCTTTGTATATATTCTGCCATGAATACTCTAACAACTTGGGTGCTAGCATCACTGTCACAACAACTTTTCAAGTCTAAAGCATGTGACCCTGTAAAGTTGAAGCTCAAGTTGCCTATAGTGATTTACTTGGAACCTTACATGAGTATTAACTCTTAACGATCCCATCTGTGTCAGATGTCGAATGTAGTATCACAACATTTTGGGGGGTTAGTGCTTTGATGCCAACTATGGAGTCTCGCATCTAACCTACAAGGTATTGTCCACGTTGACCTAAAGGATCTCACAGTTTTGCCCACGAAAGATTCCTTACAAGTATAGGTTCAAGTCTCTACATATATACAATAATGGTTCCTCATAAATTCTCTATTTGTCATGCATCTTGTCAGGATAATTAGGTGGCAATAAGTTTCTTTTAATTTAGTTTTCATCTTATTCCATGTACTAATTTCTGGTTGTCATGACCCGATTGTGTTTAGTTCAAAACCATGCCATCACATTTTTGCCAACTAACAGGCTTCATCTTTGCAAAATATTACTGTTGAGTGGAATATGAATCACTAGCCAAACTCACTTGAACCCAAATCCTACCTAATCCTATTTGACCATATAAAGTCAATAACCCAAACTTGCCCAACACGGACATGAATTGACACACTCGAATCAAACCCAATCCATATATATATATATATATATAATTAGAATAAGATTATAAAAACTTCAAAAAACAAAAAGTCTTGATAAATAATAAGCAATAAAATTAATTGTTTAGGCACTTGCTAAAAAATATTACTTTCTTTCGCTTTTTGTAGATAGTAGATAGTCACCAAATATAATATAACTTACATTGCAATTCAAGAGGCCACTTGCATGGGCCAAATGATATAGGAGACGATGTTATTTTATATGATTAGTGAATAAAATAAAATAAAACACCAAATAAAACATTTTGGTTCAATACAAAAGTAAAATCATGTATATTATTGTTCATAACAATTTTAGCAAAAAAAAAAAGTTTCATAAAACTTAAAATTTTGCACTTTAGTTTATACAAATTATTGTATATTGTTTATATTCAAATACATTTTTTTAATTTTTACCTCTCAATTAAATTCCAGCATTTAAGAAGCTAACTTGATTTTTTACTTTTAGAGTTTTAATTGACCCGGTAACTGTAATTTATTGTAAATTTGGTGAATGATAATAATCAATGCAATAAGAATAAATATTAAATATTAATAAATTAAAAATCATTAAAGGTTTTTCTTGTGGCATAAATTTTTAATAAATGATGTAATTTTAAATTATTAAATTATTTATAATTTATATTACTTTTTGTGTTTTATATTACTTAATTTTTTAATGTCATCTTTACAATATTAATAATAAAATGTGACATTGAATAACTTAATTAATAAAAATTGACTCATTCAATATGACGCAACGACTTGACTTTAAAGTCAACAACTCGAATCCAGCATAACCTGAGGTTAAAATGACTTGGCCCTAAAATGACTCAAATTTTTATAGGATCAGAATAACTTGAACTTGAAGTGACCCAACCCGACCAGCTTAATTGCCTCATCTAAAATGTAGGATCAAGCCTTTGGAAAAACACTGTAGGATCAAGCTTTTCCTCAAAATATGGAACTTGTATCTGGGTTTTGTAGTTTTTTCTGAATTTTGTACCTTGTGCTTCTTGCCTTTTGAAAACACTTGATTATCTTGAACAACTCTTTTACTTTGCTTTTGAGGAATTGTTTAATAAATTTCAGTCACTGCCTCAATAATTTGCTTGCATTAGGTTGAGAATTTTCTAATGCCTCTTATCTAAGACCCTAGTCTAGCTCTAGTGAACCCCAAAATTTTCTGTTTCTTCATGATTTAGATGAAGAGCTTCAATCTATCAATTTAATTGTTGGCCAGAATTACAAAAACTTTAAGATCTTTTAGTTCTAATATGACAATTTTCTAATCTAGGTTCTTGACAGAAATAGATACAAATTAGTAAGGATAAATAAAAGAAGAGAAGAAATCCTAAGTTTCAAAACCTATGGTTTCTCACGAGTCATTGTCATGTGGATTTATGGATTGCTGTACTTAATATTTATCTGTTATTATCTATTAGAAATTGGTCTTATCAAGGTATGTATGGTTATTTGAATTTATGGTTTTGTAGTCTATCATCTGGGAATGATAAACAATCAAAGTGAAGTATGAAACTGGGTGGAGCTAGGCCTATAAATTTGTCACTAGTGTAAGTTTGTAAGGTGGAAAATTCTTGAGAAAAAACAAAAAGTTTGGGTTCTTTCCAAAGAGCTCTACTCCTTCTCTCTCTCTCTTGAACATCTGATACATAACAATTGGCATAAAAGCAGTTGAGGAAGATGGTAGATGGAGTTGTTAATGAGCTCTTCCAAATGTTTGTTTCCATGAAGTCTCACTTGGACCAAATGGCTCTTTCTCAAGTGGTAGATGATTTTAGCTTTGAATTTTTAGAGCTTAAAGGCTTAACACAATCTCAATTAATGGAAGCAATCAGTATTTCCCCAGATGATTGAAGCTGGACAACCTCAATTACAGTCGGTGTTAATGACTTAAAGATCAAGTCTAAAGAGTTAAAAAAAAAAAATCAGTACCATCTTTGTTGTATGGTTAGCAAATTTTGTTAGAGGAAGAAACTGTGAGACCAATCTTATGCACACTCATTCTTCCAAAAGGTTGAGAAATTTGCTGATAATATGTTGACTTTAGTGCAAAAAATGCCAAGTAAACAACCCCTTATTCAACTTCACTTTTTTTTTAACAAGACTTATCATTAAGGGACAGGTTGAGATCTGAATAGAGCAGCATTGTATGTGAATTTACATGAATTTACCATAGTTAATTATTATCTTTCATTATCATCTATTTAAAGTTGCTCTTATGAGGATTATGTGTTACCAGCATAAGTTTGTAATTGTGGAAAATTTCTCAAGCATGGAACTTGAGATTGCTTCACAGAGCCCTACTTCTCTCTCCTAGTGCATCTGACACATAGCACTGACACCTAAGTTTAATTGCATCACACACCACAAGAGCAATTATGTACTTTGATATTTTTTCTTGACTCCTAGCGTCCTAGTCTTACAAGAATTAGGTCTTGTAGTCCAATGAGGACTTCGACATATACTAACAAGCTTAACTTAAAAACAAAACCCAAGAAGCTAAGGAAAACCCAAAATAAGATCTCAAACCCTAATATAAATGCAAAATACCAAATATAACTCTAAAGCCTTGGAAAACAAATGAAATGCTTTTGAATGTAAAAGAACCTAAACAATCTAAAAAAACTAAATCTACATAAAAGTTACAATTAAGTTAATAGAATAGAACAAATTAACAATAAAATTTCTGGTAGCCTAATCCCTTAATTAGGTTCTTGACATTCTGCACTTTAATCTCAAAATAGGGCAGGAATTGAGCACAATGGTTGCTGGAATTTTCTTGTAGCAGTAGAATTGGAGTAGAGCAAATTAAAGCTACTGTTTCAGAGTTGTGAATGGTATACCAAGGTACTGTAGCATTAGACAGAGAAAAGCAGAAAGAAGTGTCCAATCACATAATTACAAATTCCCAAGTCGTCTTAGTAACTCAAATCCTTAAAATAAACTTTACAAAGTGTAGCAATACAAAGGGATGTAAATAGCTGAGTACTAACTTGTACTTAGATTAGATTCCTAAATGATTAGAGTTTGGAAAAACACTCAATTAATATAAACTAAAGTCAACATAAAAGGCCTAATAATCTATCTATACCCAAAATAAGACCCAACGGACTGTGACTAAATCCCATTTCTGAAAAACAATAGGCTACTAGAAAACTTCTAGGAACCAAAACTTAATTTAGTTGATAAATTGCTTTTCTAATCTAGACATACTCTCTTGTACCAACAAGACTTATTTTTGGATGAAGAACTCATGATATTAGCTGTTGGCTTCTAAAGAGGATTGAATCTATCTATCCATGCTATTCATGCCCTGTTCACAGTTCCATATGTTTTTAAAACTGAGTCAGTTTATTGGACATATGTCCTCAGAGCTGTTGCATAAGCACCACCACCATTCTTGCATGAACTTTTATGCCTTCCTAAGTGACAAAGTCCTATCTTTTAGTTGCTTCTCAATCTTGAATTTCTTGCATGGCAAAATCCTATCTGTATTCATCATGAACTATTTGTAGTTTACCCAGTGATTTGGATGCAAATTTAGGTCTTTTGGCATGGATCTTTCTTATTTGCTCCCAAAATGCTAAACCTCTATCATCTTTTTGATTATTCTTTCCCTCCCCTTTGTTGGTACACAAAGCACATACTTATTCACATTCACTAATGTTCCTTAACAAAGATCTTTCTTTTTACATACATTCGAGTTTTGATGTAGGTGCTACATACAAAAAGGTTCATATTTGCACCACCCAAAGGATCGGCAGCAGCAGAAACAAATCCAAGTGAGCCTCTCCTAGCTGCATTAGAGGAGAGTTCTCCAACTTCTCTTCTGAAATATCTTGCATACCTTGATCTATGTATGGTTTGTGAGAATAATGTTGACTATTGGCGTCGAGCTGCCTTCTTTGAGGAAACCGGTGAGACTTACAGAAGAGTTGCAGCTGTATGCTTGCGGCCTTTGGAGCAGCTTGCATCAAAATTGGGCGAAGGTTTGGAAGGTTCTTCAGATGGTAAAGCCTACCGAGTATCTGACCAGTTGCAGTCATCAACTGACCCACGAAAGAATTCAAAATGCTATGAACTAATGAACAACTTCCAGGTATGGAAATTGTTTTTTGGAGGTGTGCATACGTTCCTTATTAAACAGTCTTGATGCAGAACCATCACACCGCAAAGATAGAGTCTAAATCAATTAGGAAACTTTTTTAGGATTACAAGTCCAATTCTGAAATCAGGGAAAACACTTGAGTCTATAATATTTTTTAAAATCATAACTCTCAATCACCAAAAGCTATCCTCAATAGTTTAAGACAAGCCTATTTATATGAGCTCAATAAAGCTTTGATTTTAGCTACATAAATATATTAAGCCCTCATAAAGGTGTAAAGGCCAAATAAAAAACAAGCTCAAATATTAATGTCCTGTTTTCTGAATCTATCGAAAAATAATTGACATAACTTATGGTTGGGAGTTCTTCTCTCAAGTCTGTTTGTTCGTGTAATTTTTTTTGCTAAGTAAGATAATATTTTTTGAGTTTTTTTTTTTATACATAATGGTAATTCTGAGTTTGCTCCAAAATTTATCTTCTGTCAAACAAATAAATTGCACTTTTAGCACTATATTTGGTAACATTGCGACAAGGCCCAAACATGGAGGGATTTCTCCCCCTTCTTGCCAAAGATACTTTTGCTAGTTGTAAATTACAAAATTTTTATTCTCTCCCATTTTTTGTTTATGTTTCCTTTTTTGCATATACAAAACTATGCCCTAATTTTTTTTTTTGAAAAAAACCTAAATGCTTTTACTTCACCTATATTTCAGAGTGTGATTATTTTTTATTTTTACTTTACAGTATTAAAAATCATGGTACATCACTTTTATGGAAAAAAATATAAATTTTCAATATAAAATACACTAGAATCAAAGATTTTTTCTTGAACTCCGTGAAAGTCAAACACAGACAAGCAAAATTGGACTGAGGGATTATTATTTGTGGAAAATAGAACTAAAATTGTTACATTTCCAGATGTACCATTATCACTGATCTAAGCAAATAATATTTGACACTAATGTGAGAAATGTGCTGTATTAAATTAATTATAAAATATAAACATACCAAAAGAATTACGATGCTGCTGCAGAGGGATGGGCACTGTTTGATTCCTGATCCTGTCTCCACTTGAGATAAAATTTATCCCCAAATTTGTCCCCTGATGCCCAACCTGGTTGGGGGAGGGAGGTATTGTCTTCATTGTGGACAGGGCAATATTACATCTGTAGTGGTGCAGTTGGTTAAAAAATGGCTTTGCTTTGTAGGTTTATTTGTTAGTAGTAATTAGTTTTGTTGTGGTTGGGTCTGCTTGGATTCTTTTTTCTTCCATGTGGTGTCCTTGCTGAGCATATATAACCTAAGATTTATCAATACATAATGAACGGAGTGGAACATAGTTTCTGAGGCTAATTGTGCTCTTCCAGGTCCAGGTTGTACTCTTACCATTTCAAGTTCTATTTGATGCCTTTCTCTAGCAACAGAAGTCATTTATGGGCATAAACGAAAATGCTTTGTTCTTTTCTATGCTTTTCTCTGGGGATGTATAAGCATTGTAGATCGGTTGTGGCATTGCTGAGCAATTTATGTTATACTTATCAAGTAAAATTTTAATAATCTTGAGATGGGCGCCATTTTGCAGCTTTACACATGGTCTGCTCGAACAATTACATCCTTGACTGCACACTCACGTAAAGAAGACAGATTTGGAGTTGCTCAACTCTCTGGTAGCAATGCTGCTGTTATCTCGACACTCATAGCTTGCCTGCTTGCTGTTGAAACATTCATGGGAAAAAAATCAAGTTTGCAACCATCTCCACATTTGATGGGCTCAGCTGGCATTAAATGGGCTACATCAAGTATTGGAAGAAGAGATGTTAGAACAGGTAAAAGGAGAGACGGTCCACTTTATTCAAAAGCATATGCCATGGCTGATGTTTTAAGGACGTCAATTTACTGCATTGTGTCCGCTTTTCACAATGAGATGCTGACTAACGCCAAAGCTGGCCTTCTTGAGAAGGATTGGATTAGTAGTGGCAAACCTCCTTTTGGAACTCGCGAGTTGCTGTTGCAGAAGTTGCTTCTTTTTCTTGACTTTCAAGCTAGCTAAACTATGAAAAAACAAGTTGAAAATGGTGAAGTTGCAGAAGATGACTGCTGGTTTTCTCCTATTTGGACCCTGCTGCTTTCCTCGAACAAATCAGCTGTGCTGCAAATTAACAGGGTGAGAATGAGCATAGGGCTTTCCATTTTTGTTTAAAAGCAAGCCCGAGTTCTTGCAACATTATGTTAAGATCAATTAATAGCGCTATTTTGTTGCAAAGTTTTGCTATTCAATCCCTTGGATTACATTCGGTTGTTTGTGATTTATGACGTGTCAAAGATTTCAGAGAAGAAAGAAGAGGAGATTTGAATGAATGAACAGAGACCTTGAAAGCTTTTTTGGAAAATTTTGGAAAATGAATCTTCCACTACAATTTCAATTGCAATTTCCATTGCAAGAATTGGAAAATCTAAAACCAATCAAGCTTAGATGTAGTCTCAATATAAGCACACTGAAAAATAGGATCTGAAATCAAATAGCACAGGCTTTTACAACGATAACAGTAATAGATATTCAAGTAGCTGTTAAGCTAAAAGCGACACTAGGGTAGAGGGTATTAAAGACTGAAAATAAAACAACACTACCACATGCCGTATACAAGAAATCATATATAAGTTGCTTAAACGACTTCTTATTCTGTGTTTAAGACACCCAATACTAACGACAATTAAATGACACCGTATTGCCCACCAAAATCTTCAGTCTTCAATTGGTTGTTGACTCTTACCTTTCTTTCATAGCGAACTTTTCACATAGATTTCAATCACTCTTTCAACTTACTCCTTTGATTGAATATCCGGTAAATTCCCAAGCTTGATCTTAGAAACTCAAACTTTTCTTAATTGAGCCCCTTAGTTAAAATATCTGCAAACTGGACTTCTGTAGGATAGTAAGTGAGCTGAGATTTTTCTCCTTTTAACAACTTCTCTAAGAGCTTGGTCCTCCCATGCTGCACAAGCCTTTTGGCAATAGCAATTGATCATTGGTTGTCCACATAGATTACTGTTGCCTTTTCCTGTTTAAACCAAGATCAGATAGCAATTTCCTTAGCCACATAGCTTGATTTGTTGCAGCAATTGTAGCTATATATTCAGCTTTAGTTGAAAATTGAGCTATTACATTTTGCTTCTTAGAATTCCAGCAAAAAATTCCCATTACCAAAAGAGAAACAATATCTTCTTGTACTCTTTGAATCTTCAAATGACCTTGCCTAGTCACTATTACTTTACCCCAACAACTCACTAATTTCTGTCCCTTTGTAAATCGGACCAAAATCTATAATGCCTCTCACATATCTCGGTATCTTTTTAACTGTAGTAAAATGCAAATTTGATGGAGATTGTATAAACTTGGAAAAAAGACTTGTGACAAACATGATATCAAAGTAGCTGACGAATATAATAAAGAACCTACCATTCTTCTGTAGAGTTTTCCATCAGCCTTCCGTGATTCATCTTCCTTGCTTAGCTTACTCCCAACTGACAAAGGTATGTCCACAGCCTTGTAGGAATCCCTATTGAATGTCTTTAGTAAATGTCTAACGTATTTTGTCTGATGCAAAACAATTTGTCTAGGTAACTGTAATATCTCCATTCCTAGAAAGTAAGACATAGGCCTCAAATCTGTCATTTCAAGCACTCATCATTTGTGTTTTGAAATCTTCAAGGTAAGCGGTATTTGGTCCAATAATCAACATATCATTAACATACAAACCTACAGTAAAAATCACTAAGTCATTTGATTTCTTAATGTAAAGTGCATGTTCATTCAAACTCTTGACGAAACTTTAAGCTCTAAAATGCTCATCTATTCTCTCATACAGAGCCTTGGGAGCCTGTTTTAGACTATAGAGAGCCTTGACGAGTTTACAAACCTTGTCTTCTACATCCTTCTTCATATAGCCTTCTGGCTGTTCTATATAGATATCTTCAGATAGCACACCATTTAAGAAAGCTGACTTCATATCAAGATGAAAGATTTTCCTATTTTCTTTAGTAGATAGAGCAGCAAGTAATCTGATAGTGTCATGCCTAGCAACTGGAGCAAATGTCTCAAAGTAATTAAAACCATATACTTGAGAATAGCCTTTTACTACTAACTTGGCTTTATACTTGTTAACTGACCCATCTAGATTCAGTTTTCTCTTGAAAATCCACTTTACTCCAATAACATGCTGATCAATTGGTTTGTCAATAAGAATCCAGTTATTATTCTTCTCCATCATCTGCATTTTTGCATTCATTGCAGCCCTTCAATTCTTATTAGAATTGGCCTTAATAAAGCTTGAAGGATCACGTATAACTATACTAAATCTGCTATATATATCCTGTAGTGTCTTGGTACCTTGTGACACGACCCCAATTCGTGAATTTGTAACTAGCACACAAGCCTAGCAAGCAAGCCCACTAGACCCGAGCAAGCCTCACAGTCCGAAATCATATAACACAATTGCCAAGGGATTTATAATCAAATACTCATAACAAATTCAAATATATTACATTATCCTTGGCTCACAGTCCATGCAAATGTTCAAAGGCCATACATTGGCCATCAAATTGGGTTTGTACATAACAACCTTTATACAATTCAAATGTCACATCGCGCTTGAAATATTTACATCAAATTAGACTTAAAGGCAGAAGGCCCACACAGACTTAGTAGAGTGACAAATCAGAAGGGAGACCTATCGGATGCCAATTACGTGTCTGTCAAATCGAAGATAATAGCTACGAAAATCCATAGTTTCTCTTATTTGCACAAGGTACAACAGAGTGGTGAATCATCTAATACTCAGTGAGGGAATGCTATCACTTCATAATATTTTTACGTATAAAATATTTTTAGGCGTATCTAGCCATAAAACTTTCATATTCAAAAATCTCCAATTCAAATGTGTGAGGATCATCCTAATATCCTACATGCACAACTCATCATATCAAATTCATGTCGGATCACATCTGAACGGAGTATTATATTCATAATTCACAAGTTTCGTGTCCTCACTTCAAATCATATCAAATCAAGGCTTACCTTTAAAGCCATTACCATCAAACTAGGCTTTATAGACACACCTTAATTGCCGAGCCTAATCTTAAATCTCGTTTACATATAGTTTGCTTATCTCTAAGCTTTTCCTCGAATATCATCCACAGTTAGTTGCTATAATTTCATATTCAAATCAAATCATGCCATACCCGATACATGTCATCATAGTCAAACGAAATCAAGAGAGTGGTCTTGCCTTAGACATAGTCAGATCATGCATGGTGGCCAATTGGCAAAGAAACAAATCACGCTTAGAGCAAAGCCGCTAGACTGAGAAATAGATTATGCACGTGCTGAAGCAATAGGTAGAGAACAGATCATGCACAACATTAAAGTAACTAATGGAGAAATAGATCATGCTTAACGCCAAAGCAAATGGCAGAGAAATAGATCATCAACCAGAGTAGTTGCTCGACTTTGGCATCACCTAGAGTAACCTTAATAGATGGTATGAAAGCACTGCAGGGGAGAATCACAGGCAGGTTAATGTCAGTGTCCCTACTTACCACCATCCCTATAGGCACACAAAGTTGGTATTTCACTCCACCTTAAGTTAAATCAATGTTTGGAATTCATCCTTTGAATAGAACATATATCCACAAATCAAGCCATCTTGCCTGTGACATTCCATATGTCTACATCAAATCGCATTCAAATTCATCGAGCTTCAGTCATCTCTAAGCTTGGTGTATTTCTAATTGCCTTCAAATCTCTAAGGCATCATCAATGAAGCATAATAAAGCTATAGGCCCTTATGCCTTTAACTCCACATGGGTATCCATCATGTTCAATCAAATCAATCATGACTTAACAGCCTTATACTTGTCCTCAAATCAACCACAAATACATGGGCATTCACACATAAATCATGTCCATAAGCAATTATGGCCTTTTCGGCCCTACGTATTCAATATCACTCAATCGCTGTGCCATTAACCCAAATACATATTGTGCCCTTATACTTAACCGGGCAATCGATTCATCACAATTTGGCACAATCCTTGATACACAATTCATATCGCACCATGTGTAAGTTTCTTGCTTTAGGTCTTACTTACCATGGGTCCTAACACTATGCCACCTTGTGGCTCGCTACAAATCATGCAAACACAAGTTTCCTATTCCAGGTAACAAATTAGCCTAGGCATCCTCATATAGGCACACAATCATAATTGTTTTCTAACCTCGGCACATACCTCTAGGCAAACATATATATATATATGCACATATTAATTCTCTAGCCTAGGCATACCTCATACACGCATATATAGTTTTCTAGCCTAGGTTCATTCGTCTAGGCATGCATATTTTATCACAGTACCATGGTAGTGCACCTATCGTACGTTATGCATTATATGCATTTAATTTAAATCCCACTCACCTTGAGGGGCGTCCTTAGCCTCGCTATGACCCTTAGCCTCTAACCGTCCTTCTGCTCACCCATGAGTAAAATAGCTTAACTCTAAGCTTGGACACATCAAAACATCAAAACTATAATTATTTCTTAGCTTTTGATAATATCCCACTTTTTCAAAAATAAACAAATTTAATATAGATGCTCAAGCTTCCAATAAATGAATTAAATCTTTAAATTATAAGCTCAGTTGCCGAAATCTAGGCTCTAAGTCTCCAATAAACTCAAGGGGAGAAAGTTTGACCAAATTTGCAAATATTTGGATCCTAAGTTATTAATTGATTAAATTGAAAATCAATCGATAAAAATGCATAATCTTACCTTCAGATTATTTCTTAAGCTTGGATCTAGCTTAAATGAGCTCCAAATGGCATTTGGGGGCTTAGGGTTTCATATGGGGTAGGGAGAGAATGATAGCAATAGCTGAGAGAAAGAAATAGGGTAGAATGACCATTGACCCTTTTTTATATTTGCCTTTCCTCTTTGATGTATCAATACATTTGGCAACGTATCGATATATCTGCCAATTTCGAATAAATGTATCGATACATTGAGGCAATGTATCGATACATTTTGGGCAGAATGGTTTTGGGTGCTATTTGGTTCAAATGTATCGATACATTGGGGCAATGTGTCGATGCATGTTTATCCTTTGCCAAATCTATCGATTCATTCTGAAACTTATCGATAAAATTCCTCCAGAACACCTCATATTGTTCTTCTTGCCAAGAATGTATCGAGACATAAGGGGATGTATCGATATATTTTTCCCTGTAAGTAGTTTTAAGTCTTCCAAACATTCACAAATCTAACTTATTGCCCCAATTTCATTTGCTGTTAATCTCATACCTCAAATAACTCATACAA